TATATGTATGTATATGTGTGTGTATGTGTGTATATATATGGGTCTGAGTTCTCACCATCAATGCACCAGCCAAAGCTGGATCGATTTATTCTATATTCTGAACTAGTCTATCTCTGATTGGATATATCAGTTTTTTTCCCCAATCATCCTGTAAGTAACATAACTTTAAAGCTTACTCTCCATAGTTGGTACTGTTTAGACCCTGTGCTCATGTCCTCTTAACGTCCTACAGTATTGGCATAGCCATTAGAAATGAGGGCATATCGGATTTGTGAGATCTACTAAATTCCCTGCTCATAGACTGTTCCCATCAACTCCTGATGCCATGAAACACTAGCGTTTCTCCTAGACTCCTGTGGTTAAAATCATTCTCTCTAGAACATTTAGGTGAATTTGTAATGTCAGGAAATACCGTGACTCTTTCAGGCTTTTCATCAGGTGTCTTGAAAAGCACCTTTCTCTTCTTCCGAAGTCTCAATTCATGGTCACACTTGAAAGAAATATCAAAGCCTTCACAGACTGAACAAGGACCACTGTCTATTTTTCAAGACATCCCCTCTGGCTCACCCAGAGGAGAGTCATCAGGAGGAAGTTTTCTTTTCCAAACAGCGATTTCATCTGGAGCTCTGAGGAAGTGATACTAGGGGCAGCCAGCAATATGGGTTGTGTAATGAAAGCAAGGAGAGCAGGTAGCACCGGTGTTCCTGGGGTCATGGCCAGAGTTGTGCAGGGAACTGTCCACAGACTTTACCACAATGGGCCCAGTTCTCCAGTGATAGAGACCAGCTTCAACAAATTACCATTTTGTTACCATTTACCAGGGTAGGGTTACCGGGAGTGAGTTAGTGATTACTGAAATTGCCTGTACTTAATTTCCATTTGCTTAAAATACTCCAGAGCAGAGAAGGCAGGAGTAAGAGAAAAAAAAAAAAAAAAAAAAACGCACTAACATAATACTAGGAACAGACCAGTTGGAAGTTGCAAGCTACATTCTTAGTTAAACATTCTGTCTAATAACAAGACAGGTAGTGCTCACACCCCAGACCAAAATGGAACCCATGGTTTATCTCGCCAAATGACTAGGAACTAAGTTGGATCCTTAGGGTTTTTTTTTTTTTTTTTTTTTTTTTTTTTTTTTTTTTTGAGGCAGAAACAGATCTTTTTCTCTACATCTGAAACACAAAATCGGGATATTAGCCACTCCTGTTGACAATAACCTTGAAAGAGCAGAACTCTCAGATCTAAATCTACTTGGTGGGACCTTTGAGGTAGAAACAGATTATAACCTTGAAGGAATGGAAAGACGCCTCAACACTCTGACCTGAAAAAAATCTATGACCTTCAGGCAAGGTGGAAATGGGCTCACATTTCTGGACCTCCATACTTCAGGCCCTTGCAACAGGTAGAATCTGCTCATGGTATTCTCAGGCCTTGTCCCCTGAAGAAGTGACATGATTCCTGAGATGGCGCCAAGATACCAAGTAAAGAAGGATTTAAAAATAAGGGGATGCTTTTTTAGATGGAATATTGACTCTACTGAATAGTATTACTGAAGACTCATTCAGGTGTTTAGTGAAAATGAAACTTGTGTGGTAGAAAGTAAGGAAAAGTCTGTTTTGCAGAGAAAATTAGCACTAAATTGTGTCAGAGGGCCGTCGTATGGTGATATGGAGGTTGTAAATTTCAAGGTGTTCAGTGCCATTGAAGTGAGGCTCAGCACTGGATGCCTAGGAAGAACTCCATCCAGCTAAGCCTTCACTCTATGCTAGGAAGAGAAAAAGATTCCGATCTCATGTAACCAACTTCATACTGAATCTGCTGTAACTCGGTTCCAAGTATGGCAGGGTTTATTACAACATAGACCCAAAATTAGCGTGTATCTCTGTGGTTTTATCGTTTTTGTATACCAAAAAAGATGCAGAATTTGAAGTCATGGATTCTTGGTCTGTGATTGTATTTCAGTACTGTTACAGGCATCTGTGTTTGCCAAAAATATACATTTTGACCTGGTTTCCCTTGAGATAAATCACTCTAACAAATAAAAAGATAGGTACATCAGCTTCTGCCTTCTAAGTTTTGGAATTAAATGCATGAGTCAATGCACCAAGCATGCGTATTATTTTTTTTTTTTGTTGCTTGTTTTTGTTAGTAATCAGACATACAAATTCTCTGACATTTACTGAGTATTGCATTTCTCTTGCAAGGCATATCTCATTTAAACGTTGCAGAAATAACAGAGGTGAGCCTTCTATTCAGCTTCCTTCTGTAATGATGCGGTGATGGCACTATAATGTCCCTGTCATAAAACAAGTGTAAGAAGTACCAGAATTAGGTGACTGTACTGTCAAAGACATACATTTACAGTGTTGTTGGTATCACCCCTTTTGTTTTCCACATGTATGGGATATATTAGAATGCAGTGACCTATGATGATGTGCATATTAAATTCACCCCGGAAGAGTGGGCTTTGCTGGACCCTTCCCAGAAGAATCTCTACAAGGATGTGATGCTGGAGACCTTCAGGAACCTCACTGCTATTGGTAAGATGGTGAAATTTACTCACGTTTTAACATAAGGGGACAAGTGTTTCCTGGTTATTGAGGGTCTTTTAAAATTTGGATTGATAAACACGAAGAGTGTGGTGAATAAATCATTTATGGTGCTAAGGTTTATTAAAGATAATACCTTAATTTTTCTCAATTTCCAATAATATATACCTTCTGGTATTATTTTTAGGCTACAATTGGGAAGGTCATGATATTGAAGAGCATTCTCAAAGTTCGAGAAGACGCGGAAGGTAATTTACATATGCAAGATTTTATACATATGCATTTGAAAAAATACTAATGTTTCCTGGATGTTTTAAATGAAAGTAACAATATAAAAAACCCCAACTTTAAACTGTATTGATGATTATTAAATTCTCCAAGAGCTATATAACTTATTGTCACATAGGAAATTTGTGTTTGCAAGGCATTAAATAAGACAAGGAAGCAGTGCCTTAACAGTTATCACCATCTGAGTCACAGCTGAGGGAGAGCTGTGCTGTAGAACTGCCCGCCTGTGTAGTTTGGTACCACTCTAATTGCAATAGGTGTGCGCTTTAACAGGTGATAAGTATGTGTCCAAAACCTGCTGCGAAGCAAACCGTCCATAGGAGAGCTAGTATTCTAAATACTGGTGATGAGTATGCTAAGTATATTGAGGTAGGTAGATAGAGTCAGGGGACAGTTTTTGCAGAAGCTGGAAAAATCAATTACTTATAACCTTGAACCACAATCATCAAGTCCAGCTTCATAGAGAATACATTAACAAACTAACAATTCAGAAATGCTTACAAGTACTAGGGATTTGTAAACCCTTCTGTTTGTCATGACTCACTTTGCAAATGTAGTATGAGACTCACATTCTTGGAAAATATATGAATATAATAAGTGTGTTAGTGCTCTGAGTTTTTCCAGTACTCTTCACATATGTGGAAAATCTCATATAGAAAAAAGATGCTCTGAATACGAACCATGTAATAAAAGCTTACCATGAAAGGCACCTTCAAAGATGCAAAACAACCCTTAATAAAATATAAACCATGAGTTTAAACAAAGTGATAAAACCTTAACTTCTGAGTTCTCTTTAAAATGTTACGGCTCAGAAGCTAAGAGCACTGATTGTTCTTCCTGAGGTCCTGCATTCCATTTCCAGCAACCACATGGTGGCTTACAACCAATTGTAAGGAGATCTGGTGCCCTCTGTACTGAAGTGAACAGGCAGGAGGAATATTGTACACTTAATAAAATTAGACCAAACTGTAAAATTAATTTATACCGGTGTAGGGGGCTGGAGAGATGGCTCAGACGTTAAGAGCACTGACTGCTCTTCCAGGGGTCCTAAGTTCAATTCCCAGCAACCACATGATGGCTCACAACCATCTGTAATGAGACCTGGCACCCTCTTCTGGTGTGTGGGCATACATGGAGGCATAATGTTGTACACATAATGAATAAATAAATTAAAAAAAATTTATACCGGCGTAAAGATTTACCAGTGTAATGAACGTGGTAAAACTTTTACTTATGCCAAGTAACCTTCTGAATGCAGTTAATGTGTTCATTCCTTTACACATTACAGTCCTCTTGAACGGCGTGAGAGAATTCACACGGGAGAGAAGCCCTGTGAAGCTCTTCAAGATGATGAACCCATCGCATATCGTAGTCGGCTGCGACTACATAAAAAAGCACATACCAAAGAGAAGCCCTGCAAATGCCATCAGTGTGGTAAAGCTTTCACATTTCCCAGTCTTCTTCAAATGCATACAAGAACACATACAGGAGAGAAACCTTACAAATGTAAGCAGTGTGATAAAGCTTTTGCATATCCTTATTATGTTAAAATTCATGAAAAAATACACACTGGAGAGAAACCCTACAAATGTAAGCAGTGTGCTAAAGCCTTTATGTTTCCCAGTGATCTTCGAAAGCATAAAAGAACACATACTGGAGAAAAATCCTACAAATGTCATCAGTGTGGTAAATCCTTTATACATTCCAGTCATCTTTACAGGCACGCGAGAACACACACTGGAGAGAAACCCTACAAATGTCATCAGTGTGGTAAAGCTTTTACAGCTTCCAGTGAACTTCAAATACATAAAAGGACACATACTGGAGAGAAACCTTACAAATGTAAGCAGTGTGGTAAAGCTTTTGCATATCATAGTTACATTCTAAGTCATGAAAGAACACATACTGGAGAGAAACCCTATGAATGTAATCAGTGTGGTAAAGCCTTTGTACATCCCAGTAATCTTCAGAGGCATAAAAGAACACATACTGGAGAGAAACCTTAGAAATGAATGTAATTATTGTGATAGAGTTTTTGCATATCCTCATAATGTTCTAACTCATGAAAGAACACACACTGGCGAGAAACCCTTATGAAGGTAATCAGTATAGTAAAGCCTTTTCACATCAGAGTCTTCTTCAAATACATAAAAGTACCCCTATATGGGGGAGAGAAAAATTATCACTGTAATCAATGTGATATAGCCTTTATATATCACAGTAGTCCTCTAAGGCATAAAAGAAGACATAGTAGAAAGAAACCCTATGAATGAAATCAGTGAAGTAATACATTTGCAATTCATATCAATCTCCAAAAATAAAGGAACACATACCGGAAAGAAACCCAATGAATGTGACTAATGTTGAAAAGCCTATGTAATGTATCAAAAGTCTTCAAAATCATGAGAGAACATACTATACAGACACCTTATAAATATAGTCAGTGTGATATTTTTTATTTTATGGTACTTTTTCTATAAGAATAAGGTTTTAGTGAAAAATTGGTAAAACCTTTTCATATTAAAGTATTCTTTGAGGAAGTGTAAAGAAATACTGAAAAGATTCTAACTATTTCTGATTTTGTTAATGTGGATGTTCTCTCTCTGCCTTTTGGTTAGGTTGGATAAAGGTTTGTCTTTTATTATGATACTATAAGTAAAATCTTTTCTCACTTTCCATAGCTACCCCAATCTCCCTCCCTCCCCTTCTTGCCATCCCACACTTCCACTCACCTCACCCTCATCCACTTCCCAGAACTGGTTCGGCTTCCCCATGGGGAGTCTACAAAATCTGACACTTCAAGCCAAGACCAATGGACTCTGTCCTATATCTAGGCTGAGCAATGTATCCTTTCAAAGAGAATGTGCTCCCAGAGGCCAGATCAAGCACTAGGGACACACTGACACTGGTCCCAGAGAAAGTCCAAGCTTCATAATTGTCCCTTACTTTCAGTGGGCCTAGTTTGGTCCTATGTAGATTCCCCAAGTTATCAGTCCAGAGGCAGTAAAGCTCTCACTAGCTCTACTCAACTGTTTCTGTGGATATTACTAATGTGATCTTGACCACTTTACTCATCACTCCTCCCTCTCTTGGGCTGGTCTCCAGTAGTCTGGCCCAGCACTTTGCTATAGATCTCTATCTGCTTCCACGAGCTGCTGGATAAACATTCTATGATGAAAATTAAGGAAGTCATTAATTTGATTACAGGGAAAAACCAATTTAGGCATCTCCTCCACTGTTGCTTAGGGTTTTAGATGGGGCTATGCTTTTGGATTCCTGGGAGTTTCCCAAGAGCTGTGTTTCTCACAGGCCCTTCAACAAGTCCCTCAGTCTAGATACTACTTTCCTTTCTCTCCCTCTCTGTTCTTCCCCCCTTTGAGCATCCCGTTCCCTCATGATCTCCTTCTTCCCCTTCTCACCTCCCCTTGCACTCCCTCTACCTTATTCCCCCCAACTCCCAATTTTCTCAAGAGATGTTGTGTGTGTCTCCTTCCCAGAAGGAACCATGTTTATTTCTTTCTGGGTTCTTCTTGTTATCTGACATCTCTGGAACTGTGGTGTATAGGATGGTTATCCTCTGGTTTATGTCTAATACCCATTTATGAGTGAGTATGTACAGAGTCTATCTGGGTCTGGGTTACCTGACTCATGATGATTATTGAAAGAAAATGTGGCATATTTGTACAATGGAGTACTACTCAGTGGTAAATAAACAATGACACCTTGAAATTTGCATGGCTTCCTATTTTTTCAAAGTCAGTGTTGTTAAGAGTTTTCCCATTTTCTTTTATCGTTTTAAAAAGTTAAACATTGATATTACTTTTAAATTTATTATTCTATACAAGAAACTCTGCTCGAATCACTATTTGTTTCTGTTCCCCAATGGTTTGCAGTCATTAAGAACTTCAGTCCCCTTTTCTACAGTGGTTGTTATTTATTTCTATTTTGAGCAATGTCAGTGTCACATGTAAACCTATGCTCGACACATATGTAAAAGAAACATTACTATAACTTAAATGGCATATCAAACCCCACATGCTAATAGTAGGAGATTTCAATACCCCATTCTCCACAATGATTAGGTCAACCAGAAAGAAACTTAACAGAGAAATAAGAGAACTAGCATGATGCCAGGCGGTGGTGGCGCACGCCTTTAATCCCAGCACTCGGGAGGCAGAGGCAGGCAGATCTCTGTGAGTTCAAGACCGGCCTGGTCTACAGAGCTAGTTCCAGGACAGGCTCCAAAGCCACAGAGAAACCCTGTCTCAAAAAACCAAAAAAAAAAAAAAAAAAAAAGGGGGGGGAGGGGAGGGGAGTTGGAAGCATGCAGATTTACCAGTATTTTCTGCATTTGGGATTGCCAACGTTCAATCAGTTAATCAATTATATGTGATGCAAAATGCTCTAGGTGGCCATTTGTTGGGGTCCAAAGTCAAGTTTGTGGGCAGGAGACTAACATTTCCTCATTGAAATATTAGGTCTGCATCTAGGACAGAGATTCTATTCTCTTGACAGAGGGACTTTTTCTCTTAGCAGATCTTTAAATTTTCTGCTTCCTAAGGCCCCTGTAAACACTTAACTTCAAAGATCAGAGCTCCCAAAACAGTTATGTCATCTTTGGCCTCTACCAAGGACGAAACTGCTCAGCATCCCAGTGACATATCTTTAGACAAGAAAGCAACCAGTTTTATTCTTTTTGGTCTTCGTACCCTAAACTGCCTCACTCATTTCTACCTCCAGTTCCTATCCCACCTCCCTCTGAAGAGGTAACCCTAACTGCTATTGTGGTCTTGGGTTGATGTTCTATATGGCTTACAGACAGCTGAATTTGATGAATCTGGTGGCAGTACTGGGATACCATTCTAGAGGGCCTCTCATAAAGTGGAAATTCTCAGATATTGACAGGAAAAGAATTCCTTTACTGGTGTCTCAAAAGATCTGCAATGTCCAAAGTCCATAAGATT